GAATCCCTGGAGTTCTTCAGAGGTTTGGAGTTTGTTACTTCTTCGTTGCCATGATGCAGTTGCTACTGCCTCCGATGGAAAAAGGCGAAAAAAAGGTAGCATTAAAGGTTTTCGCTCTTCGCATAAGCTAAACCCTTGTAACCGTGTAACGAGAGCTTAAGATTTTCAGAAGTAATTCCTAATTCTTTGTTATCATAGAAAAGATGGTGGGAAGTGTTTCGAGATGTGTTTGGTTTATGGAAGCAGTGGATCTTTGTGCTGATGCTACTCGCTGGCTATCTTGCCCTTACCTATGGAGTGGATGTGCCTGGATGTCCCAAGTAAGGAGTATAGCTTGTTTTAAAAGAAGTAAAAGAAGTAAAACGAATCTCTCGAGTTATAGCGCGTTTCGAAGTCATAAGACCGAAGCAATCAGAACAAGGCAATCTGCTTCCAGCGCGGGAGACCATGCATGATGAGCAAAGACCCACATGCTTTTTTTTTTTTTTTTTAACTGAGTTTAATGTAAGTTGGCCACCATAAAGAGTTTCTAAAGTTGACGTTTCAAACATTAGCCCTTCGCTGGGGCTTGGTTTTAGTTTTGCATCTAAAGGGTAGAGACGGCTTTTCTAGTTCTTCTGGACCAACCATTGAGCCTACAAAAGCAATGCCAATACAATTCCGGCTTAGTTTCGACAGACGGTCAAAAATTGGTTTATTGAATGATCAGGGTAGTTGACCTTGAATGTTTTTACATCAGCTATACGTCTAGTGTACGCCACAAGAATGACTGTATAACAGTTCTACATTCGCCCCCACCCCCCCTTTTTTTTGTAAGGAACTTATTTACTAACTACATTACGATTGCAGGGGTTACACGGGTCCGGGGGGCATTGGGGAAGGATACCCAAATGCTTTTAACTGTACTGGAGGAATGGCGGGGTACATTGACACAATCGCCTTAGGCAACCATCTTTACAGATTTCCTACTATCAAGGTCAAGTAACAAAGTCATTTCTTGAACTCAAGATACATGCGCACTAAAGTTCCGAGTGGAAAAAAAGATTACCCGACAACACTTGGTCAAAATCATTCACCGAATGTGGAAAGTTGTACCTTTCTCAGCTCATTTTTACTCAGTTCGTTTTGTCATTTTTCTTTTATTTTTGCCTAGTCAAACGACGTAGGTTGATATTGAAAACGTTGTCTTAGTGTGAATCACTCGTTTCACACGATAATCATCTTTTCCCTTCATATGTACTTTCCAATCTTTTTTGCCAGTTTCTGCACCTAATCACAAATCTCTCGTGTTCTGCTCGAACAGGGTGTCTACAAAACTACCTTACCATATGACCCGGAGGGGATCCTTGGATGCCTAACTTCTATTGTTTTGGTTTTCTTTGGCGTTCAGGTAAGAAAATAAAATGTATTTGCTATCTATGAAAAAACAGACGCGTTCTTTTCTTAGTGTTTTTTTGGTATCTTAGCACACTGCTTGTCAAATTTAGCAATACTTTTGCGGTGTTTAAAACAAACACAAGCAAACAAAACCGAGAGAAAAAATTGAAAACAAAAACACCTAATCACACAAACCTGCGTACTTGTAGTTCTTGAAGGTTAGCGGTGCTGCACCTCGCATTGTTGATAGGAGCTAATGATTACTTTGCCCTATGTATTCTCCCCGGATCATTATCAGTAGCTGGTCTGAGTCCAGCTACTGATAATGATCCCTGCCTCCTTCTTGGTATAACGTGAAAATCGGCCATCAGATAACATAAAAGCCTAGAAAGGCAACAAATATTTTTCAAACCATATCGCGTCGTCACGTTGTGTTTATGTTGGTTGATTGCATCGCAAAAACCGTGGAGCATTTGACGAAAATCGACATCGTTACAGAACATTGCAGAACTGTGCATTACAGAACCCTTCTAACCAAGCAGTGAGAAAAAAAAATATGCATATATTGGCTAGTTATTTCGGTTCTGTCATCTGCTTACCTGAGTAACGCATTCCTTAGTCGTGACAAAAATGGTTCTTCGCAAACCATTACTAAATTCACTGCGTGTTCTGAAGAGCCAGCATATTGTATTGCTTACAGCCATGCGGTTTCCTGGACTACACGATTTATCATTTATAGGTTGTAGGACATATATATATAACATATAATTTCAGAGGGGTTAAATACTTCGAAGATTTCGAAGAGTGAGTGACTCTCCCAAAAGATGACTGCATACTTCTTGGGAAATTTGCACGAGCGATTCTAAATTTTTTCTCGTTGTTTTTCGGTGGCTCTTGGTTGGTTAAAAAACAATACCCTATTCATCGGGTTCACACATTGCGTTCAGTGAATAATTACCAAGTCTCTTCAAAGAGCACATAGTTCTTGCCAATCAGATGGAGCTACTTTAGTACATAAATTATTCTAGTTTAGTTTTGGATGGATAATTTAACTGAAATCAAAATTACATCATATTACTGTTATAAGGACAACAACAACAATAACAACAATCAATCTTTATTTGTAAGCTCTCTGGCTTTATAAGCTGTAACACACACAAAAAAAGATAATAAGAGTGCTGGCTGCCTGGAATAATCATAGGGGCTATTGGAGCCAGGCAGCCAGTTGACCTCTACATTTAGAACAGAATGAAAAAGCATCCTGCAGGAGCCAGTAGGATTTGGGGGATCACATTGTTTTCAGGGGGAACCTGAGAGGAGAGGAGGAGATATGTCCAGTGAATAGGTGGGTGATCAGTTGATCAGTTGTCGCAAGAGACTATATTATATTTATATTCTCTTCGCTGTCGTCAACAGAGTAAAAAGGGGGGTACAGTGGAAAAACGACTGCCAATTAAGTGAAAATGAGGGGGAGGGAAATCATAAGAATATTATAGAGCCTTATGGGGGAATGAAGTAAATTTTAATCGCTACACAACCAAAATGCTTTCAACCCCCCCCC